AGGTCCGTAATCCCATTTGCTGTCACTCCTTTCTCTGTATTAAATTGGTCTAAGCAAGACTTCATATATCTACAACTTTACATATCTAAAAGGATTTTTAACACTTTCATAGCTTTTCCTCTTCTCTCATTAACTCTCTCACACACCCACACACACACTTGTTAGGTAAATCAATCACTATTATCTCTATTTTTTAGGGATTTTATTTATTTATTTTTAAATTGGAGTATAATTGTTTTACAATGCTGTGTTAGCTTCTGCTGTACAACAATGTGAATTATCCATAAGTGTACATATATTCCCTTCCTACTAATGTTGACCTCACTTTGGTACACCTGTTCTGAATTGCCCACTCTCAATCCTTTCCACCTTCCCCATCCTGAAATCCTAGTTTTTATAAGGCACAAACTCCTGGTTTCTCTTTACGATGTGAATTAGAGTATTTGAACCAGAAAGGACCCTAGAAATCCTCTGGTCTCACTCTTCGATTCTGTCAGCAGAGAAACTGAAACTTAGAATGGTGAAACAACTTTCCCAGTGTCAAAAAGTTAAGCAGCCCCTAATCTTCAAATGGGCTACCTGGTGGCTCAGTGGCAAAGAATCTACCTGCAATGCCAGAAACTGCAGGAAATGCGGTTCGATCCCTGGGTCAGAAAAATCCTCTGGAGGGGGGCATGGCAAACCACTTCAGTATTCTTGCCTGGAGAATCTCATGAATTCTCATGTAGACCTGGTGGGCTACAGTCTATGGGGTCACAAAGAGTTGGACACAGCTGAAGTGTCACATGCACACATTCTTCAAATGGGCTTGAACTGGCTAGTCAACTGCTTTTGCTCTCCCTTACCTATCTCTGCTTCCCTAACATATTTGCAATCCAACATCAGACATGTTTTAGGTTCTTAAGGCTCTAAAATGGAAAAAACAGAAATTCAGATCAGATAGGGGTGAGGCTCATGTCAGTATTGATTTACCATTTTTTCCAGCCTGGGCTAATATGTAATAGAAATAAGGGAGCCTGGCAGGAAAAAAAGGAAAGTTGAAAATTTCTGTGCATTTTTACAGCATGTACATGTTCATAAAATGATGTGACAATTAGTACCTATTTATACTACACAAAGATTTTGGATCTTTTTCAGTCTGTGATGTAGAATCTGGGAACTGAGAGAAATTGTAATGGATTTCTCAAGGGGCTGAGACTGGAAATGCTGAGCCCTAAGTAGTAGCTATTAAGAGGTGAGCACACTGACCTCCCTTTATCTGTCAAGTCTGCTCCTAGGTTTCGAGTTTTAGAGATCTACCATTATATAAATATGGAAAGTAGAACTACAGAGTTTAGAAAATGGAGTATTACATACAAAGTATGAGCTGAAGTGAGGGTGAGAAAAGTTGTGAGACATACAGTGGATAACAAGAAGAAAAAATGGAGAACTGCTGAAATAAACTCTAATTTCATTCTATCCTCTGCCCTACCTTCTGTTCCTGGTGTTTCTTCCAGAAATACTTGTGAATATATCCTGTTTATTTTTAAAACTGCTTTTTTGGAGAAGGTCACATCTAGAACAGTGGTTCTCAGCCCCAGCTGTTTAGACTTGTTTGGGAAAAGTAATAAATATCAGCACTTGAGCCCACCCTCTAAACAATCAGAATCTCTTAAGTAGTGATCAAGCATTTGTGGTTTTCACATATATTTTAGAATCAGGTGATTCTGATGCTCAGAAGGTTGGGAACTATGGTCTTGTCCAATCTCATTTTGCAGGTAGAAAAAACTGAGGCCCAGAGAAGGAGAGATCCCAAGCTCAGGGTGATGATATCAGTTAATGAAGTAATAACAGAGTTCAGGCTTCCTGACTTCTAGTCTAGTGCCCTTTCCATTAGATCCTGATAAAGAAAGTATATGAGATCGAGTGACTTATCTATAAGTCTGTGAGATGTCCCAATTGTTAAATAATCTATCTCTTCATTCTTCATATGCCTCCAGCCAGTAAGAGAAAGACTGATAAGTTTGGAGAATGATATATGTCTATCAACTGCAAAGATCATTTTTCTTTACCCTCAATATCATAAGTTCTGACCCTGAATGTGAAAAAAACAGGAGATTACTACACATAGTATGATTTGAGAACCATTACAGGGTGACATCATTCCTAAACCTCCCTCTTTCTTACCTGCCACAGTGCCTGAAATTTATAATAGTAATCATTTTTCTGAGTTAGAGCAGTCTTGCCAGAATGTCAATTATATAGATAAGAATAGATCATGGGCTATTAACACATATGCTGTCACCTGGGAAAGAAGCAGACAGAGCTCAAAAAAACTGAGCTCAGGGTAAAGGCATATTAATGAATGATGAGAGAGGAGGAAAACCCAGAATATAGGATAATTCCCCAGTGAGAGCCCTTGGTTGTAGCAGTGCAAAAGTCTACAATTTCCTTTTACAAAATGGCACTCAGATGCTTGCCATGCATATATTTGATTATATATATATATAATATTATATTAGCAAGTATATTATAATTATATTTAATATAATAATATATTATTATATATTATATATCATATTATATATTATATTATATTATATATTATTATATTATATATAATATAATATAATTATATATTATTATTATATATTAGATATTATATTATATATAACTTCCCAGGTTAGGGGGGTTTTCATCCATTATTTCTTCAAATAAGTCTTCTGTCCCTTCCTGTGTCTCTTCTCCTTCTGGGACCCATATAATGTGAATCTTAGGACACTCTATGTTGTCCCAGAGGTCCCTTAAATTATCCTCACTTTAAAAAGTTCTTTTTTTTCCTGTTCTGATTGAGTGATTTCCACTATTCTGTCTTCTTGATTACTTATCCATTCTTTTGTATCATGTAATCTGTTGTTAATTACCTCTAGAACATATTTTATTTCAGTCATTATACCCTTCAGTTCTGGTTTGTTCTTCCCTATATTTTAAAAATCTTTGTTGAAGTTCTCACTGAGTTCCTCCACTCTGCTGAGTTCAGCGAGTATCTTCATGATTGTTTCTTGAACTCTTTATTATGTAAATTATTTATCTGCATTTCATTGGGTTTTTATTTTTCTGGGCTTTTATTTTGTTCCTCCATTTGGAATATATTCCTGACTCCTCATTTTGTGTGTTTTTGGTCTTTGCTTCTATGAATAGGTGAAGGAGGGCCTTGTGTGGGAGCATCCTCTGTGTAGACTGCTTGCACCTGGAAGCTTTGGCAGATTAGTAGAACTGGAGTGGGCATGAGCCAAAGGAAGTCCCTAGGGAGTGTTGAACTGAGGCAACCTTGGCAGGGTGGCTTGAGCTGAAGAGGGTTGGACTGGTGGTGTTTCCCAGAGAGTGATGTTCCTGAGACCACCTTGATGGGAAGGCTGGAGCTGGAATGGGCCTAGGCCAGGGTAATTCCTTGTGGGGTATGCCACATTGGGGCCACTTTGGCAAAACAGCTGGGGCTAGGGTGGGCTTGGGCTGGATGCAGTCTCAGGAAGAGTTGTAACAAGGCCTCCATGGCGGAACAGCTGGAGCTGGATCAGGCACAAGCCTGGGAGTGGCTGGGGGCAACTTCACCTGAGACTGCCCTTGGTGAAATGGCTAGAGCTGGAGTGGTCATGGGCCTGAGGGAATGCCTGGGGAACTCAAACAATGGCGTTCACTGATACCTCCAACCCTGGTGAGACCTCCAACAATTTCCTGCCCATTAACCCAAAGCTCTAGGGTTAGTGAGTAGATGTCCTTTACTTATTGTCTAGATGACTTTTAAATTGCTGTTTTTTCACTGTATCTCAGGGTGGGTGAGTCTGTGCTCTGACCCCTCAGCAATATCCCTCCCTGCTACAGATCTCCACATCAGGGAGATTCCATGTTCCCATCTCTTCTACCCATTTCTATGTGAAGCTTCTCCTTGCAGTAGCAGTTCAATCAGCCAATTAGTTGTTCTTTAGGAGGAATTGCTCTATATATGAGGAAGCAAGCTCAGGGTTTTCTTCCTATGCTGTTATCTTTGACCCCTCTTTCAAAAGTTTTGCATTTCTTTGTTAAATTGATCTTAAATATGAGGAGAGGCAGTGGCCGAGTGCGCGGGCGCTGGGGGGCGGCCAGGGTCACTCCAGGCCACCGGGGCCACCCACCCTGGTCACATGAGGGGCTGGCATGCCTGCAGGGGGCCGCGTCTGTCTTGCCTCTGGGCGGGCCTGCGACCTGTCCACAGCGCTCAGCGCCTGTGCTCTGTGTTGCAGGTCTACCTGGAAACCCGGAGCAAGGGCGAGTCTGAACAACATCCGCGAGTTCCTGCGAGGCTGTGGGGTGTCCCTGCAGCTGGAGACGTCTGATGCAAATGATTTGTATCAGGGGCAGAATTTCAACAAGGTTCTCAGCTCCTTAGTGACGCTGAATAAAGTAATAGCAAACATCGGCCTGGTGAGCAACTCCATGTGCGCCTGGCCCTCTTCCCACCGGATCAAGTCTTCTGACTCCCAGCCTTCATGGTAGGACTTGACAGTTGTTCCAGGGCCAGTACCGCAGTTTGGACATGAGCGATAATAGCAACAATCAGCTGGTCATCAGAGCCAAGTTTAACTTCCAGCAGACGAATGAAGACAAGCTGCCCTTCACGAAAGGAGATGTCATCCACGTCATGTGGGTGGAGGAGGGGGACTGGTGGGAGGGAGTGTACAACTGCAGGACTGGCTGGTTCCCCAGCAACTACTTGCACAAGATCAAGTCCAGCATAAAGCCTGTGTTACCCAAATCTGGAATCTTGAAGAGCCCTCCCAAAGGATTTGATACGACTGCAATTAACAAAAGCTATTACAACGTGGTGCTACAGAATATTTTGGAAACAGAAAATTAATATTCTAAAGAACTTCAGACTGTGCTTTCAATCTACCTACAGCCCCTGCAGACCAGTGAGAAGTTAAGTTCAGCAAATACTTCATATTTAATGGGAAATCTAGAAGAAATATTTTTTTTTCCAGAAAATGCCTGTACAGTCTTTAGAAGAATGCACCAAAATGCCAGAGACCCAGCAGAGGGTCAGGGACTGCTTCCTCAGCCTGATGGCCACAAATGAAGACCCTGTACCTGGCATACTGTGCCAACCACCGTCCACGGTCAGTGTTCTCACAGAGCACAGTGAGGAGCTGCGAGAGTTCATGGAGATGAAGGGTGCCAGCAGCCCGGGCATTCTCATGCTGACCACCGACCTTAGCAAGCCATTCATGTGTCTGGACAAGTACCCTGCACTGCTCAAGGAGCTGGAGAGAAACATGGAGCATTATCACCCAGACAGACAAGATATTCAGAAATCCATGACCGCCTTCAAAAACCTTTCAGCACAGTGTCAGGAGGTGTGGAAGAGGAAGGAGTTGGAGCTGCAGATCCTGACAGAAGCCATCCGGAGCTGGGAGGGCGACAACATCAAGACCGTGGGCAGCGTTGTTTATGTTTCCCAGGTCCTGATCCAGTGTGCTGGCAGTGAGGAAAAGAATGAAAGATATCTTCTACTCTTTCCAGATATTTTGCTAATTTTGTCTGTCAGTCCTAGGATGAGTGGTTTTATATATCAGGGAAAGCTACCAACGACAGGAACGACAATCACAAAGCTCAAGGACAGTGAAAATCATAGAGATGCCTTTGAAATATCAGGGAGCATGATTAAGTGGATCTTGGTGTCCTGCAACAACCAGCAGGACCTCCACGAGTGGGTGGACCATCTGCAAAAGCAGACGAAGGTCACCCTGGCGGGAAACCCCACCATCAAGCCTCACTCTGTGTTGTCTCACACCCTTGCTTCCCATTCCATCACCCCGTCCAGTAAGCATGCGGACAGCAAGCCTGTGCCGCTGACGCCCACCTACCACACGCTGCCCCACCCCTCCCACCACCGCACTCCACACACCACCATCAATCAACAGGGGGCCCCTAGAGCCTCCGAAGACCCCCAAGCCCTGGAGCCTGAGCTGCCTGTGACCCACACCCCTGCCTGCAGCCCTTGGCTGCCCTCTGCTACAAGGAGGACCTGAGCAAGAGTCCCAAGACCATGAAGAAGCTGCTCCTCAAGCACAGGCCAGAGTGGAAGCCTTCGGACGAGGAGTTCATGCTGAGGAAAAACACAGCTGTGCTGGAGGAGGATGCCCAGATCTTGAAGGTCATCAAGACTTACCGCACCAGCACCAAGACATGACAGACATTCAACTCAAGTTCACGCAAAGAATCTGCTCCACAAGTTTTGCTTCCAGAAGAAGAGAAAATTATAGTTGAAGAAACTAAAATCAACGGTCAGACAGTGACAGAAAAAAAGAGTCTCGTTGACACCGTGTATGCGCTAAAAGATGAAGTCCAGGAATTAAGACAGGATGCGCTAAGATGAAGAAGTCTTTGGAGGAGGCTGCTGGCACCCTTCATCTCCATGAACTCTCGCAGCTCCTCACTGTGCTCTGTGAGAACGCTGACCGTGGATGGTGGTTGGCACAGTATGCCAGGTACAGGGTCTTCATTTGTGGCATCAGGCTTAGGAAGCAGTCCCTGATCCTCTGCTGGGTCTCTGGCATTTGGTGCATTCCTCTAAAGACTGTACAAGCATTTGCTGGAAAAAACATATTTCTTCTAGATTTCCCATTAAATATGAAGTGTTTGCTGAACTTAACCTAACCCTAACTCTAACCCTGATCTTCTGGATCAGTCTCAGGATCCAGAAGATCCTGGACCTGCAGGATCTTCTCCTGCAAAGATCTGGAGCAGCTGGTGAGGAAGGTTCTCAAGAACATGAACGACCCTGCTTGGGATGAGACGAACCTCTGAGGGGCGTCCTGGTGATTCATCAAGACCGGTTATGAGACTGAGCCAGAGCCCCGCGACCCCCGCCCGTGACACTCAGGGCTGCAGGGAGGGGCTGCATGGCCGCTGCTTTCTGTGCATGGAGACGTGCAACCCAGGGCGGCTGTGAGGCACAGGCGCTGAGGCCAGACCATGTGTCTCCTCCTCCACATCCAGTACCTTGTTTTGCAATAAGTGCAGTGACGGCATCTAGATTTGCGGGCTCTGAGTGAACATGTGTAAATATTATGTATATGTTCCCTGTAAATGCCCCATTCTGAATGCATACGGTGGTGGTTCTGTCTGGGCTGACTCCTGGGCTGCAGTCCCCTTCCACTAACCTCTCTGGTCCTGTGCCCTGGGTCTTTTTTTTTTTTTTTTCTTATTTCTTTCTTTCTTTCTTTCTTTCTTTATTTTTTTCATTTATTTTTATTAGTTGGAGGCTAATTACTTTACATCATTGTAGTGGTTTTTGTCATACATTGAAATGAATTAGCCATGGATTTACATGTATTCCCCATCCCGGTCCCCCCTCCCACCTCCCTCTCCACCCAATCCCTCTGGGTCTTCCCAGTGCACCAGGCCCGAGCACTTGTCTCATGCACCCAACCTGGGCTGGTGATCTGTTTCACCCTAGATAATATACATGTTTCGATGCTGTTCTCTTGAAACATCCCACCCTCGCCTTCTCCCAGAGTCCACAAGTCTGTTCTATACATAGGAGTCTCTTTTTCTGTTTTGCACATAGGGTTATCGTTACCATCTTTCTAAATTCTATATATATGTGTTAGTATACTGTAATGGTCTTTATCTTTCTGGCTTACTTCACTCTGTATAATGGGCTCCAGTTTCATCCATCTCATTAGAACTGATTCAAATGAATTCTTTTTAATGGCTGAGTAATATTCCATGGTGTATATGTACCACAGCTTCCTCATCCATTCGTCTGCTGATGGGCATCTAGGTTGCTTCCATGTCCTGGCTATTATAAACAGTGCTGTGATGAACATTGGGGTACACGTGTCTCTTTCAGATCTGGTTTCCTCGGTGTGTATGCCCAGAAGTGGGATTGCTGGGTCATATGGCAGTTCTATTTCCAGCTTTTTAAGAAATCTCCACACTGTTTTCCATAGTGGCTGTACTAATTTGCATTCCCACCAACAGTGTAAGAGGGTTCCCTTTTCTCCACACCCTCTCCAGCATTTATTGCTTGTAGACTTTTGGATAGCAGCCATCCTGACTGGTGTGTAATGGTACCTCATTGTGGTTTTGATTTGCATTTCTCTGATAATAAGTGATGTTGAGCATCTTTTCATGTGTTTGTTAGCCATCTGTATGTCTTCCTTGGAGAAATGTCTGTTCAGTTCTTTGGCCCATTTGCCCTGGGTCTTGTACTCACCATTCGTGGGGACTGGAGGCTGGAGATGCACAGGTGTTTCTGGGGGTGCCTGCTCTGTTCCCCCCACCCCCACCCCCCCGGCAGTGCTCTAGAAACACTTCCTATAGTGTCCGCCTGCAGCTCGCCTGGTTAGAACTGCAGAGGCCCTGTCTTCCCACCCCAGTCTCCTGGTAGAGCAGGGTCACAGTTGCCATGTGCCTCACTTAGGCTGAACCCGGGGGTCTGGGCCTCAGGCCCAAACCCGAGGAACCATGTCTGCTGCCACTGGGTCCCATGACAGGTGTGTGCATTGTCTGCCTCATGTGAGCACATGCATGGTGGAGGGTGCCTGGCATTGGGGCTGGTCTGGAAACTTGGCCAGGTGCACCGTCCCATCCTCCCAGAAGGAGCAAGCTCACTGGAGCTTGTAAATAAAGTGTGTTATTTATTGCACGTTGCTGCAGCCTGTGAGGATGGGCTGCCGGGCGCAGGTGGGCACTCTGTCCCATTGGGGGCAGTGGGCAGGCCTTACGTGCTCACTGAGAAGGCAGTGTCTGCACTGTTTCTGCAAAAGTACAGCAATAGAACACGCCTGAGATTCCCCACGGTTGAGATGGGGACCCTCCCCCACCCCACCCCATGTCAAGTCCAGATGGCCAGGGCACGGAGGAGGGAGCCTGTCCTCGGGGCCTGGAGCCCAGCCCGGGGTCCAACTGGTTCACCGGACCTGCTCCTCTGCCCCGCTCTTCTGAAGAGGTCGTTTGTAAAGTGAGATGAACTTGTAAAGGATAAGTGTCATGTCCTTAAAAGCCCAAGCCCCAGCTCCTAGATCAGGGATGTCTTGGAAACGCCCACGTGGCATTAGATGCAACTCTGACCTGCGCTCCTCTCACTGCGTCGGGCCGGCGGACGTCCCTGAGCTCCAAGCAGCTGCCGGTCTAGGCACCCGTGGTCCCCGCCTGCGGCCCCGCCCTCAGGCTTCCCTGCCCAGTGGGTGTGTCCAGCGCCGACATTGACTATGACGACACTTGACCGTGTAACGAGAACTGCAAACTTCTTGTGCTTAGCATTTTATTTTGTTCGTTAGTGGTAGGGCTAGAAATGATGGTCCTTGAAGTGTTTTGTAAGCCTTGTTTTCACAATAGGCCCTTTGGTGATGTGTGAGACCTCTCAGTGGGAAATAATCCAATCGAGTGTACTGAAGTTTGCTGTCTCGAGCAAATTCTAACTCAGGAACCACTTCGTCACCTGACTGTCTAGCACTTTGTGACAGGCGGTGTTGCCGCCCACACCCCAATGTGGCACCTGAAGAATCTGCCTTAAATGTCGACTTTAGCATCGAGGGGGCACACGCCCCTTCTCCCGAGGGGTGACCGTTGACATGCTTGTGTAACGCATCCTTCCTGTGTCCCAGTGTTTTACTAAGGTTTTTAGGGAGCAGAGACGATGTATCTGAGAAGTTCTTTCTACAAACCTGCCCTGTTGTCAGTGAACTGCAACCGTGTCTCCGTGGGACCTTTGAGGGGCTCGGGGTCCCAGGGGATGTCAGGAAGGGGTCGTCTGCCTCTGCCCCCACCTTCCATGGACGAGGAGATGGAGCCATGTCCTCCCCGGGTGGGAGGAGGCGTACTGGAGCCTTACACGGCCGGGAGACGTGCTCTGGAGCAGGTTGGGCCATTGTTGGGGACTCCTCGTGGGCTCCCAGTGCCCGCGCCCGTGTTTCTGTAGGATGCACAGGGTCCCCGTTCACAGGCATGGGGATGCTCCACAAATGCCGCCACCAGTGTCCTGGCCTTGACTACTCATGCTACATTGTTGTAATTATTAAACTGATTATTTTTCTTATGTTACAAAAAAATTGATCCTAAATATTTTTTTATATTCGATACCATTGTAAATAGAATTTTCTTATATTACTAGTGTATAGAAATATAATTGATTTTGATCAATGGGACAGAATAGAAAGCCCAGAGATAAATCCACGTACCAATGGACACCTTATCTTTGACAAAGGAGGCAAGGATATACAATGGAAAAAAAGACAACCTCTTTAACAAGTGGTGCTGGGAAAACTGGTCAACCACTTGTAAAAGAATGAAACTAGAATACTTTCTAACACCATAGACAAAAATAAACTCAGAATGTGCTAAAGATCTAAATGTAAGACCAGAAACTATAAAACTCCTAGAGGAGAACATAGGCAAAACACTCTCCGACATAAATCACAGCAGGATCCTCTATGACCCACCTCCCAGAATATTGGAAATAAAAGCAAAAATAAACAAATGGGACCTAATTAAACTCAAAAGCTTTTGCACAACAAAGGAAACTATAAGCAAGGTGAAAAGACAGCCTTCAGAATGGGAGAAAATAATAGCAAATGAAGCAACAGACAAAGGATTAATCTCAAAAATATACAAGAAACTCCTGCAGCTCAAAATGCCAGAAAAATAAATGACCCAATCAAAAAATGGGCCAACGAACTAAACAGACATTTCTCCAAAGAAGACATACAGATGGATAACAAACACATGAAAAGATGCTCAACATCACTTATCATCAGAGAAATGCAAATCAAAACCACAATGAGGTACCATTACACGCCAGTCAGGATGGTTGCTATCCAAAAGTCTATAAGCAATAAACGCTGGAGAGGATGTGGAGAAAGGGAACCCTCTTACACTGTTGGTGGGAATGCAAACTAGTACAGCCACTATGGAAAACAGTGTGGAGATTCCTTAAAAAACTGGAAATAGAACTGCCATATGACCCAGCAATCCCACTCCTGGGCATACACACCGAGGAAACCAGATCTGAAAGAGACACGTG